AGAAATTTGATTTTATAAAAAAAATTTTACTGGATATGTTTTAAAAAAATAGCCAAAAATTTTTTTTTCTTTTCAAAATTGTCAGTTTTTTTTTGTTTATAGTGCAAAAAATAAAAAATGCACAGGTGATCAAATACCACTGAAAGAAAGCTCAATTTGTCAGAAAAAAGGACATAAATTTAATTTGGGTGCAGAGTTGCATGACCACGCAATTGTCAGTTAAAGTAACGCAGCACCGTATTGGACTGGTCAGGAAGGGGAGTAAATCCTCTGGAGGGCAAGTGGTTAAAGGTAAAATGTACCTGAAGACACAAAAAGGAGGTCAGATGATTGGAACAATCGCTCAGAACTCTCATTCTATAAGCACATAACATCAGCTGAGTATAGTTATGCCCTGTGTGACTTCTCTGGAGGCAGCCAAGAGCTGTCATCTTAGAAATGTTGGGATAGATCAAAGAGAGGCCATATATGCAGACAAACAATTGTTTTCTTACGTCATCATTGTTGACCAGACCAAGTGACAGTTATCCTAAATCTAAGTGAACCTTTCCATTCCACAAGCATGTAAACATAGTGGTACCTTCATAATCTGTTCCCTCAAGCTGTGGGTCTGCAAAACATATAGAAGACAGCAACATTACATATTTCCATTGCTTCCATTGGTTACTCAGAACAAGCACAATGGATGGTAAAAATAAAAGGCACTTTTTTTATTTTCTTTAATCTGTTCTTCAGTACTGCTACTTAGCTTCACATGTACTACATAGAAAGTTTCTTTATCCTCTTGCCAACTACACATATGCTTCCATGGCATTATGAGGTTCTGTGCTGAGAGTGCGCTCACATGATACAGAAGCTACATTACCTCCCTGTGGCTCTTTACATGGGCCTTATTGTCTAGGAAGTACGGCTTCTATTTCATGTGAGCCTGCTCTCAGAACAGAACCTCATTCCGCTGTGGATGCATAAGTGTGGCAGCTGGGCCCATGTTTCTTACCACAGCATATATGCTTTAAAATAAATGAAGTCTACAGTATAATGCCTCATATAGTACAGTGCAGTGATATATACCTCATAATAATGATAATAAACATTTAAAGTGATCCAAATAAAATTGTGTCAATGGAAACATAAATAACGATAAAAGTTCAATGATGTCCTGTGCTTATATGAAAAATATTAATCCAATAGTGATTCAAAATGTGCCAATGTGAAAAGGGAAAAAAAGTGTCCACATCAAGCTTTCATTGCTCTTTTCTGTGAAAAAATATTATACATATTGCAAGGAAAAAACTGTCCACCTTGTGAGATATGTCCTCCTAGGCACTGCCCCAGAAAAATCACAGTGATCCCTTTCACCACAATAATAAGATCTTCACTCACCAGACTAAAATGCCTTTCTTTCTCAAGAATATGCACACAAGCTCAATCTGGCTCACAAGGAATCCTCCAAACTGCAGTGTCTCTCTCAAGTTATCCTTTTCTGCCTATGCAGATAGCTGTTCCAGACTCTAAAGAAGAATAATTTGCCCACAGATAGGACATTTTTACAAAGCATAATAAATTCCTTTATTAAAACAACTATTATATTCACAAGTAACAAGCAGGGCTGCACAATTTATATCGGCTGACACCCGGGACATTCAGCTCCAGGCTCCAGGCAGGTGCATTTTTTTTACATTTAGCCCTGCTGTGGGCAAGCAGTCTCTTTAGCCTGGGTTCACACATATGTGTACTGAAATTGCATTCCATTTTCTGTGCATATTTAGTACAGGTGCGATTTTGCTGGCTCTCTATCTCTACAACTGCCTCCCATTAACCTCAATGCAAAATTGCATCCAGTTGTACCTCAATGCAAAATTGCATCCCACTGACTGTGATGCAAAATTGCATCCCATTGACTTCAATGTAAAATCGTGTCCCATTGACTTCAATGCAAAATTGCCTCCCATTGACTTCAATAGAAAAACACCTTCCATTGACATCAATGCAAAAATGCCTTCCAATGATTTCAATGTAAAAACATCTCCCATTGACTTCAATGCAAAAACGCTTTCTATGCACTTCAATGCAAAAACTCCTGTCAATAGAAATCCTATGTGAACACTTATCTCTACATGCCACTCTACTCTATCCCTTGAGAGTCTGGAATGCACCTCAACAACGTGGACAGGACCCTTTTCATAATGGCACTCAAGAGCTGACACTCCCCTTTCCTGATGAGCACCCAACCTCACCCAGGTGTGGTGCTGGAGACAGGCAGGGAGGTGATTAGGAGGTAATTAGCGCAATGTTAAAAAGTTTTAAATAAAAAATTTAAGTCGCCATAATGCCCCTTTTATTTTTAAAACCCCAGATATTCCTAAAAGCACCTTAGATTTAAATACAGTTTTGGTTAAAATTATTTATTTTTTTATCAGGACAAGTAGATTGTCATGAGGGACAAATAGACTGGGACCTTGATTTGGTTCATTGGACAAGCAATTTTTTTTAAAAACTCCACACCCCTGAACATGTGAATAAAAGCAGGCATTAAGATATAAATCTGCTGTGGCCCAGTAAACTAAAAGTATTGTGTACACAAGAGTTACCAGCCAGCTAGGTCTATGTACTGGGAATCCTAGACACTGCAAAAAAAAAAAAAAAACATTTTTATGATACACAGTAGTTTAGATCAGGGGTCTCCAAACCTTCTAAACATAGGGCCAGTTTTCTGTCCATCAGACTTTCGAGGGCCAGACTGTGGCCATTGGGTGTAGAAATTGTCCCAGCATCAGTGGGAGTAAACAAAGCATTTTTGGTATCAGGGGGAGGAATAGCGCCCCTTCAGTGGTGTAAGTTGGAGGAATAGTGCCCAATTGTTGGTGTCAGCGGGAGGAATAGTGCCCAGTTGTGTCAGTGGGAGGAATAGTGCCTCGTTGTGTCAGTGGGAGGAATAGTGCCCCATCATTGGTGTCAGTTTGAGGAATAGTGTCCTATTGTTGGTGTCATTGGGGGGAAATAGTGCCCCATTGCTGGTGTTGGTGACAGTAATAGTGCCCCATCATTGGTGTCAGTGGGAGGAACAGTGTTCTATTGTTGGTGTCTGTGGGAGGAATAGTGCCCCATCATTGGTGTCAGTTTGAGGAATAGTGTCCTATTGTTGGTGTCATTGGGGGGCGAAATAGTGCCCCATCATTGGTGTCAGTGGGAGGAATAGTGCCCCATCGTTGGTGTCAGTGGGAGGAATAGTGCCTCATCATTGGTGTCAGTTTGAGGAATAGTGTCCTATTGTTGGTGTCATTGGGGGGGAAATGGTGCCCCATCATTGATGTCGGTGGCAGAATAGTGCCCCATCATTGGTGTCAGTGGGAGGAATAGTGCCCCATCATTGGTGTCAGTGGGAGGAATAATGCCACATCAATGGTGTCAGTGGGTGTGGGGAATAGTTTCCCATCATTGGTGTCAATTTGAGAAATAGTGCCTCATTTGTGGACATCAGTAGCAGTAATTATGCCCCATTGTTGGTGAGAGGAAAGGAATAGTGTCTTGTATCAGTGGGAGGAAATGTGCTTCAAGGGCCAGATAAAGGCAAGCAAAGGGCCACATCCAGCCCCCCGGCCGCAGTTTGGAGACCATTGGTTTAAATAAACAATTTATTTAGGATTTATATTACTTTTTTAATTTGTTCAATAGCAGTCTTGTGTCTTTGGGTACTTTTCTGCTCATATAGACATAGACATTTGAGAGTGGTTGGATGTACAGCAAAGATCCAACTGTCCTGAAAGCACATGTACTAAGGCTACAGAGTACTCCATACATGAGAAAGGCTGGCTTTGCAGAACTATGAAGTTTGATGCTGATGTAGGGGGTGAGAACAATAACAAAATCAAGAGAAGTTTTCTAACCTGCAAAATCAATGTCCCCAGGGGGAGCGTGTGACTGCGGGACAACTACCTTCAATCATAGATACGAGGCTGTTACCTAATCAAGCTGACAACAGTTGGATTTAAAGACTGTCATCACATGTCTACGGCAGTGAATAGTGGTATCCTTGACCTCTATCCTATATGTATGATGGACTTATGTCAGGCACATCCAATATTTACTTTGTTCAAGCCAGTGCTAGCCAGTCTCAGCTTGCATTAATTCTAACCAATATCTTAGTTTTTATCAATGTACTTCTAAAGTGTGCCCAATGAGGGTTTTAGTGTCTGCCAGCGGACATGAGTGGCCTACTTAATTCCAAATGATTTAACCTTGCAGCCTGGTTAAGGTAGTTCTTGTTATGGTGCTTTTAGTGCTTGAAATAAGTTCAAATGTTGTCCCTCAGCTATTTCTCAAAAAATAAAATGCTCATTACCTCTACCGAAAGCGTTAACGACTAAAGTGGACTTAAAATCAGAAAGTAGCCACCCATGCTACCAGCTGTCAGGATAACCTATAACCCATAGCACACTTATTCAAACAGCAAAACTGACCACGGCGCATCAAATATAATACTGTGGATATCTGCAACCAGAAAGTCCTGTGCAAGTCAATGACAGGCTGACAGTAGCTATGGCTGTCTGCCACTGTATGCATGCGTCTGCATGTATCCAAACAACAAGCAGTTGCAGTTTATGCAATAACTACTTTCCGACCGCCCTATAGCAGAAATTCTGCTACAGGGCGGCACGAGTGCACAAAATCACACACACACATATATATATATATATATATATATATATCACTGGGTCCCAGCTGATGATTACTCGCTGGTGTCCGGTGATTTCCAAGGATCTCCGACAAGGAGGAGAGAACTGTTTTGTTTACTAACAGTTCTCCTTCCTGTCAGCTCTGGCACAATTGGAAACTCAGGCACTGCCCGAGGGCCAGGGGTCAGTAGGGGGCCCCATGAGATGCCCCTGGTACCTTTTTCATAGGCTTTTTTGAGTTTGGGCAAGGACACAGGGCCCCGTGATCCCTTACTGCACGGGGGCCCCATGAATTGTCAGTCCACCCCTGATGCGGAGTAACACTGCATCAGTTACAAGTACTACTACAACATACATTGTAATAACAGTCTTACAGTGTATTTATAAATACTTTTTTCTTACCAATCACTCTTTGCAATTATATTACAAAAACAATTGTAGCACACAGAAGGTGATTGACAGTCTCAGCTTTGCATGTTTCCCTATGAGACTGTATGGAAGGGGGTGTATATTTTGCCTCCGGTCAGGTCGCAGCTCTCCTCTCTATGCTGTGCAGTTTGTGACATCAGCCCCTTTCCACCCCCATCTGCCTTCTGGAGTTCAGAGATGCTGTGTAAAATGTGTGTTTTAGGAGGCTGTAGAGGAGAAAGAACTGTAGATAAACAAGCTAAACTTATACAGGATGATTTGTTTTATCTCTGTACTTTACCTGATGCGAATCACTTCAGCAGGCATGTGTAAGGGTTTCTAACCACTTTAAATCTGTATTGGTTTTTGATCAGTCTTTTCTGTTTAATATTTTTGAGCTTGAGTTTTTGAGTTCTGTAAACAACATGCTTTTTTATTCAACAAAACAGCCATGAATAGAGAATTAAAGTGACACTAAACTCTGGTTTAAAAAAAGTATGTTATATTCAAAAATATATTCTTAACTCAAAAAAGTGAATTCTATTGCTCTTAGCCTGCTCCAAATCTCCAAATTCCTTTTTCTTTTTTTTTCTTTGCTGCTTTGATAAAGGAGGTTATGTTCATTCTTCATATCCGCACTGTATGTAGGAGCGTAGCCAACCTCTCATGCTCACTGTTTCCAAACAAACAAAAAAAAAGAGGGGGAAAAAGTTTGGAGGATGTTACAAGGGCGAAGAAAAATATAGTGGGGTTGATTTATTTGTAGACAATTAGAAATAGTATAGTGGGAAAGGAAGTAGGAGAAAAGAAAAAAAAAAGGGGGGGGGGGGTGGGAGAGTGGGTGGGTAGCTTGGCGTGCTGTCAAGGGTTCCCTGCCATGGGCACATATTGTTCACAGCATCCAGAAATGTTAACATTTTACCCATCAGGTGTGAGTGAGACCTGGTAATCTGTGGATAGGGTAAACTCAGTACAATTGAACCATCGGTTACAACATTGTTCCTCTTTATTGTATCCTCTTCTATTTTGGTGAACCACAAACTCTACTATGGTGTTGTGGTTTGTTTCCAATATAGGGGTATGCATCAGGGCCAGATCTGGCCTGTCTGATGTGGGAGTGCAATAAAAACTGTCAGGGGGGCAGAGAATGGGAGGTCAGCAGGGCAGTGTACAGGGGTCAGCAGAGCAGAGCACAGGGGTCAGCAGAGCTGGGGATAGGGGACAGCAGAGCTGAGGACAGGGGTCAGCAAGGTGGAGGACAGGGGTCACAACTGGCAGGGAAGAGGACAGGGGTCTCAACTGGCAGGGCAGAGGACAGGGGTCTCAACTGGCAGGGCAGAGGACCGGGGTCAGTAGAGCTGAGGATAGGGGAGAGCAGAGCTGAAGACGGGGGTCAGCATGGCAGAGGACAGGGGTCACAACTGGCAGGGAAGAGGACAGGGTCTCAACTGGCAGGGCAGAGGACAGGGGTCAGTAGAGCTGAGGATAGGGGACAGCAGAGCTGAAGACAGGGGTCAGCATGGCAGAGGACAGGGGTCACAACTGGCAGGGAAGAGGACAGGGGTCTCAACTGGCAGAGCTGAGGACAGGGGTCAGCAGGGCAGAGGACAAGGGTCACAACTGGCAGAGAAGAGGACAGGGGTCACAATTTGCAGGGCAGAGGACAAAAGTCACTTTTGGTAGGGCAGAGGACAGGGGTTACTGGTGCCTGGGCACTCATCAGAGCTCCTTCTTACCACACAGATAGCTTTGGCTTTGGGGAGGCACAACAAAAATCTGGGGGACATAGCCCAACCCAGCAACCCCCTAGATCTGTTCATGCATGCTTTGGCAGCATTGAGGAGATGTATAAGGAGGGAGCATTTGTTTCTCTTTAGAGACATTGGGGTCGGGTGGAGAAGGAAGGAAGGCAGCCAAGTCATTCAGCAGCTGTATGTACCGTTGTCTGTGAATGATCTGTCTAACCTGATTTTAAAAAATTGGAGATCTCTGGGCATGACCAAAACATGTTAAGCACGGAGCTTTTGTTGATTTACTACAGACAAATACACTGGGCACTTTGCAAGTGCGGCTGCACTCATTTTCCCAGGAGCTTAGTGAATGTGGTGACGCTTCACTTTGTAAAGAATGACTAATCAGATGCAAGGAAAATTTTAAGAATTGCACAGTTGCTTGCACATGATTGGATGATGGAAATTAGCAGATCTTCACCACATTCATTATGCTCTGGGAAAAATTAGTACAACTGCGCCTGCAACATGGAAACAGTTTTATGAAAAATAGATTATAGAGCCATTATGTAATGGCTGCTTTTAAACTGATCAGTTCTTTTTTTTTGCGTAAAAAAAAAGCAGAAGAGAAATGCATGACCATTAACCCTTTTGCTGCCAGTGCTGCCTTTTGCATTTTTTTTGCACACATGTTTAAAAAAATAATTTTGGGCCTGAAGATTACACAAACCCCCAAAACATTATGTATTTTCTGAAAGCAAACACCCTAGAGAATAACATAGTGGGTAGTTCCAATTTTTTATGTCACACGATATTATGGCAAAGGTCCAGGAAATGCAAAATATCAGTAAAAAATCACACTAAAATGAATTTTAGGGCAAACAAACGCAATACATTGCCCACATTTTTGGTAAAATAAAAGTAAAAGATGAGGTTGTGTAGAGTAAATAGATACCCAACATGCCAAACCTTGAATTTGTGTGCGCCTATGAAATTGCGTCAAACTTCAGTACCCTATATTTTCTATAGATGATACTTCAAAAGCCCCTATAGGTCATCAGTTTAGCATTACAGAGGAGGTCTTGTGCTAGAATTATTGCTCTCACGCCGACATTTATGGCGATATGTACTATGTGTATTGCAATCATCATTTTCACGTGTAGGCACCCTGACATGTGCGTTTATGTTCATACGTGTGAATATGGGGGGGTGGGCTCAACATTTTTTTTTGTGTGGGGGGGGGGGTGTTATGTGCTTGTGTGTAATTTTATTTTTTTATTTCATTTTCTTAACTTTTTTTTTCATCACACAGGGGACACAAAGTCCCCTATGTGATGATTTTTTGCAGGGTCTAAAATACCCTGAGCTCCATTAGATGTATTGCAATGCAAACTGCATTGCTATACATCTTTCCTCGGCTATTTTAGCTGGGAAAGTGACAGCCATGACCCCGAAGTGATGTCACGGACCTCGCCTTCCAGGTCACACAAAGAAGAGGAAGGGTGCAGACGATCGTCCGCTCTCCTCTTTCCCCTCCACCCATAGACACCCACCATGGCACTCCCCAGGCCCGTAGATGGGCAAGTGAAGCCCAGTTACATGGCGGGAGCATGCCAGTGCAGGAGGCGGGCACCGGAACCAGAGGCTGTGGATTCAATCGGCAGCAGTGGAGCTGCTTGACTACTTCCACCTGACAGGCAGGAGTATGCCTGTCAGTTTTGTACACAATTCCAGTGGCCGCAGCCACTGGATTGTGTATAAAACCCCCTGCTGTCAGGTCCATACGGTGTACGGAACTGGCAGCGAAAAGGTTAAATCCTATGGAACTGTTCACACTGGTCAGTTGCAGGTCCACTGCTTTTTTGAATGTCCTGCAAACTGCATTTTTGGTAAATGTCTGGTGTGGTAAAAAAAAATGCACCTCCCTAATGAAATGAATGGAAAACACATAAACAATATGGCAAAAATGCATCAAAAATGCATTTGTTGTGTTATTGGTTTTTTGATGCATGTCCTTTTTTACAGGTGCAAAATGCACTGGAAACACAGCAAAAACGCTGAGTTTTTATGCAATCTAGGAAGGTGAAAGGTGCCTTAAGCATGTAACAATGAGCCTTGAACTCAACCTGTTGTCTACAGATAAATCAATACTATTAGTTTAGCCTTGAATATAGCAAATAAACAGAAAATGTATGCACAAAAACATTATTTTTCCCTTTTAACAGACTTTCTGTATGTGAGTGAAGTGAGGATTTGCAGATAGTAGTGTGCAATGGCAGTGTGTGAATGGCTGTGATGAATAATGGTGATGTGTCAGTGACAATAGCCCTTAGTAGTGATTCTCTGTGATTGATGATGTCACTGAGCAGCACAAAGATCAACTGCAGTGCTTTCTACAAACCAAGCTTCTTATATTGATTGGCTTTAGGAAAGCGAAGGCATGCACTGCAGATGGTTGAAGGTCATGTAAGGCTAACCACCAAAGATCAGCAGGGACCTAAAATGAAGCTAACTCCTTGATGTGATCCTCTAAAGGTCTACAGATATCCGCATTGTATAATCCAGTGCAATTCAGATTGGTCCTTGTTCATGAAAGCCAACCTGGTCATCTATGCATGATAAACTTTGACAGGTTATTTTATCCTTTATATGTTTTTTTGTACTGATTATGGGAAGACCTACACACAGCTACATGTCTGTGCTTTTCAAGGTTGGAAGCAAAAGCTAATCCAAACAGACCTTCACCTGTATTCTGAAAGCTTGTTTCATCTGTGAGCGCTGGCTGTATACCAAAGTCCATTACGTCCCACAGTGTTAGAATTCCTTCACTTTATTATCTTTTATTTCTTGTTGGGTGGTCAGTTACTGGCTCAGCCACCCAACTAATGGAACACTATAGCAATGCTGAACCTAGCATGCAAACATTCACAATTTTCATTTGTTTTACAAATAGAGTTTCTATCTTCCTTTCTTTAGCAATTATTGGTCATTTAAGTGCAAACCCAAAAACAAAAATGTAATATATTGCGGCTCACTAATCCTGAAATGTGGTATCTGTGTTAGTTTTCTTCTTTTAGGCTTTGTTTTCTGTTGTTTTAACCTGGTGATGGGGCCAGTAACACACCTTCTGTCTTAGGGTGTCTCAACTCTGGATGAGGGCAAAGGAGACACCTCAAGACAGCTGTTGGCCATACACATATAGATTTTTCCATTCCTTCATCCACGCTAAACAGCGCAGAT